CCAGTCGGACTGGGTGCCTCCAGTTAACTGGGTACCAGTCGGACTGGATATCCAGTCCGACTGGTACCCAGTTACTGGCACTGGTGCACCCCTAAATAATTATTAATAATTATTAAATGAAGAAGTAAGTCGATTTCTCATGTGATTTTTTTTTTTATATTTCAAAGAAAGAAAAAGAATTGAAAAAAATCATCAATTTACTTACAGTATGTAGAGAAAGATTTTTTATAATTACTTGTTAATGTTTTTTTCATTCATTTCCTTCTATAGATTGGTTCAATATCATTGATTTCAATATTAGGTTTTGGTTGCTTTTATTTAAGTAAAAAAATTGATATAATTCAATTGATTTTAAAATTAAAATAGTAAAAGATTTACCAAACTATTAATAACGATAAAGTCATCTTCATTAGAATTTCGTGATACATTCTCATGTCATGTATACTTAGTAGATTGATAGATTCTCATGTTGCTCCTATGCTATGATTAATATTCATATTGTTATGTTTTTGCCTTCTCACTATGTGTTCTTGTTGATTATGATTATTTTTTTCTTTTGGTTTTATATCTTGTGGTTAATTACCATCTTTCGTTTTTTTTTCTTATTTTCGTCTTTCTCTTGTCTATTTGTACTGATAGGATCTATCAGCGATCAGTGATCGCAAATAGACTAAATTTCAAAATAAGATTGTTATTACTCATTGAAAGATTTCTTTATAGAAATTTTCTAATATTGAATTTACTGAAGAATTTAATCGATTATAATTTGAATTTATTTTCTCTGATTAATATTAAATTATGAAAAAAAAGAAGAAGCCATTAGTGATATAAAATCATCGTTTATTTATTATATATCTGAATTATAATAATATTCTTTAACATTCATATCGAATAAAACTAAAGAAATAGAAGAGAATCGTCAATTAAACGGACATAATAATAAAAATTGGAATTCTAACCATTTAATGAAGCCAAAATTAACAATGATTATTTGACATTTTCTTGTTAAGCTGTTGAAATGATGCAGAAAATCAATATTATATTAAATGGTTATTGGAAAGAATTTTATCTGCTTATGCTTGAAATATATTGTTGATAATATTTAATTAGATTAAACAATTAATCACTGCAAAATTAATTGTTGAACTTTCAAACAATCAGAAGTAAAAAAAACTATATTTTAGGAAAGTTTTTCGTGGTACTGTATCGTAATTGATAGCTTTGCTTAATGAGAAAGAAGTTAGGAGAAGAAGATTTTCCCGATCAGGATATTGCCATCATTATATACTACCAGCTAAACTTTGTCTTTTACAAGTAAGATGATTTGAAATTATCAAAATAGATTTGTATTCGTTTTTTTTAGACATCATTAATTGATAAATCAACACTCGAATATGAAATTTTAGCATGGGAAATTTTAAAAAAAATTATTGATGGTCGAATTAACTAAGTTAATTCATCAAATTTATCATTAATTATCTGTAAATTATTTAAAGATAATATTATTCGTGATTGTAGTTTACTTGCTCCAGTATTATTCAAGTACAAATAGAATCACTAATTTTTATCTTTAATACATTTGGTTATTGTGCTGTCAAGTAAAATCAAAAAAGATAAAATTTGTATATGTTATTTATTTGTACAGTAAATTTATTTTGAAAATGTTAATGAAACCGATATAACATATTCAACATTATCTCCATGTGTTTCTTCAATGTCATCATTAATAAATGATAAACGTTTTGGATATAGTTTATTAGAAAAATGACTTAAATATGTTGAACATGCATCAAGAACAATCAAAAATTATAAAGAAAGTTCACAATTTTCATTACATGAAACTTATTCTTTAACAATAAAAGATGTTCAACTTTTCGTAAAAATAAAAATAAATAAATAAATGGAAAATTTTAGATTGTTTTACCACTTATTGAAAAATATTTTCGAGCACATCGAAATTATTTTATTATCCCATCATCATTAAAAGTTGATAGTAATTATGCATTAGTGAAAGAAAAAGAAATGAGTTGTAGTCTATTTTGTAAATTGGCTGCTTTACTTTGACAAAAATTTTGATGCATTTGGTAATGATGTTAGTATAATTGCTCGTTGTTTGAAAGTACTTGTTAGTGCTATTGATGTTAAATATGTTTTTTTAAAACGAGAATCGATTTGATATTAGGGGCAAAATTTTGTTCTGAATACCTATAGATTTTTACGCTTGTCTTTTCTGGAATATTTATATTGCAATCAGCTTTATTTTCAATTCGACTATATGGTCTTCGAAGACAAAAGTAGGGGTCAACCCAGAGTTGTAATTGGTCGAGAATTTTTGGGCTGGTTCGGCCCATCAGATCCGAATTTTAGACCAGTCCTGTCTGATCAATCTGTTAAATCATTATCAATTGGTTAATGGGAATGGCTTCAAAAAACATTCATTATCATTTTTTTGCTCAGATTTTCACAAATCTCCACGAAGAAAAGCCACTTTTCAGCTATTTACATTTGTTTGGTTTCTCGAAGATAAATATGTGATATATGTGTATATAGCATGAAAAAAAAAAGAGTTATTTACCAATCAACTGATTGTTGAACTTCAAAACATATGTGAGATAAGTTTACCACAAGTATTATAGTTTTGACTGTAATTTTTAAAAAATAGAATATGCTTCGATTAAAGAAATGAAACAATGCTCTCAATAAGTTTTATCGGGAAAAAAACACGCTATTTCTATAAAATGTTTTTCAACCGATAAAAACCGACCGGACTGGTTACAACTCTGTTTGAAACACAGAAAAAGAGACTTGTAATCAAATTATCATTAGTATTATTCAAATTTGCTGTTAACTTCATCTACATCAAGAAATGAGTTATTCTAGGAATTGAATAGCAATTTTATTATCAATAATTGTCGTATTTCTGAAAACAACAATTTGAAACTAAATAATTATTATTTCTTTTTGAAAAATAAAATTCTACATATATAAAGACACAAAAAACAAAAATTAAAATGCACTAATAAACATAAAATGCATATTTTGATTGAAAACGATATCCAAATATCATCGATCATTATCAGACATACATTCATAGAAATAAAATTTAAAAATTAAAATGCAATAAAAGTATATAAAATAAAATGAATAATAAACAATGGAAATAATTATTCATTGAAAATATTTTCATAAAACTTCATAAATACTGAGATAATCATAATTAAAAATTTTTTTAAAATATGGTTGAGGATGAGATTCAAGAGTATGACATGCAAGAGTTGTACGTGTTAATATTTTTTGATCTTGTTCATCAATATCATACATTTCAGGAAATGAACATCCTTTTGGACGATTTGTTATTGTACACCAATGAGATTCATAAACATAATAATTAACTTGATATTGTTTTAATATTGAATGAATATAACGAAGTGAATTTCGTGAAAACATTCTATAAACAAGTTTAACACGATGACGAATTTTTCTATGTTCATAATGAGGATGAACAATAATTCGACGACCTGTTGATAATTTTAAATTAGCCATTGTTGGCATTGTACCTGCAAATATTGATTCATTTTGAGTATTTAAATTAATCCATTCAATCATTTTTTCCATTGGATAATTTGAATATTCACCTAGATAAACAATTTTAAAAATATGTTTAGATGTTTTTTTGTTTTTACATTTTAGTTTTTCGAAAAATAAAATGATTAGATAAGATCCTTTTGTTATTATTATTTACCTTTGATTTTTAATTGTTCTTTGATATTTTTTCGTCCTTGAATACTCATTCCAATAAGAATCAATAAAAAAACTATAAATTTAAATTTTTTCCAAACAATAAATTTTCTTGGCCATAATTGTTCATTCATAAATAAACTCATTAAAAGACATAATTGTGGAACAGGAAATAATTTTAAACGCATTATTAATAAACCGATAAATATATAAGCACCGGTTTGAATAATATGATAATAATTCCATATTTGTTTATATTGATAATTATCTTTTCGAAATATATCAATAATAAAATCATATATTAATCTACAGATAATGATCATTGACAATGGAATAAGACCAGTTCGACATAAATTAGTTATTGTTTCCATATCAATAAAATCAAATTCTTTTGCACATGTATATAATTGTGTATCAAATGTACGAAATGTTGAAGAAAATTTTGATTTTAATATATCCCAAATATGAGCATCATCATCGGTTGATGAAAAAAGAAAATTAATTATAACAAATTTAATTAAAATAAATGAAAAAAGAAAAAGAATCATTCGACGAATTATAATAATAATTAATAATCGATATGATTGGAATGAAGATGATGAATTAAGAAAAAATTTATCCAAAATACAAACAAAATAAAATGAAAATAATGTTATGGAAAATAGAGAAGTTAATAACATTCGATTACCAAACATTAACATAGCTGATATTATTAATGAAAGAATTTGAGCACATAAAATAAAGAAAAATTGATGGAATGGTAAAAGATTAACTATATAGAGAAGACCAAGTGATAATAATTGAGTAGCTAATGTAAATTGAGCAACTAAAAATAAGAATATGATAATAATCTCAAATAGGATTTAATATCATTAAGAATGAACAAATCATATTCAATCATTGATGATGCTTATCAACAAAAAAAAAATCTAAAAACGAAACAAATCGTTCTTTATTTTTCTTTTCCATTTGCATTAAGTAAGACTATTAGCATAAACGACAAGTGTGAACATCTTTTGGGTCCTGTTCTTGAATCTTGAGAAAGGTGACAGCCAGAAGATTACCAAAAAATACTATTTGCTTCCTTGGAACAAGTAGTCAAACCTATTAACTGTTTTTTTTTGTCCTGATATTTATTGACGTGCATTTATTGCTATAGATTAACTCAAAAACGAATCTGTTACAATATCTCTTATTACCATGGAATGAAAACTACGAAACAAATGTCTAGATTATGTTTATTATACTTTACTTCGAAGTTAAAACTAACAAACATTAGATACAAGAAGTATTGTGTATCGTCAGCTTTTTCATCATAAACTGTATCGATTACTATATTCAAATCTGATCTATTCTTTTGGAAACATGTCACTCGAATATTATTCAATATGGATTAAGATTCAATTTCATTCTCATCTCAAAATGTGATTCGTGTAGCAAGCATTCAACGTGAAGTAATAGGTAAATTCAATTCTACATCTTATTTATACTTCATTCAATTGAATCATGATGTTCTCTGTCAATAGATATATCGAAATTCATAGATCGGAAAGAAAAGTCGAATAAATGGATTTTAACATTCCAATCATTATTGAGAAACTCATTATCGAAAAATCGTGTATATCTACTGATATCTCTAAGAGTCAAATCATATGTCATGCTGCTTAACATCTTGAAAAGATATTAGAGTCTAAGATTTTATCAAGATATTGACATAAATGAATAGTAATTGAATGTCGAATGAAGATACTCGTTATATTGTTCAGATACTTTATGTACAAGACAAACTTAATTAATCTTCGTATTAGTAAATATGAAATTAATACTGAAAATTGTATCTATTTAAAAATTCAAGAATAAGATGGATTCCATTAAATAAAAAAATAATCAAATCATTTTTCTAGATGATTAGTTGTACTATTGCAAAGTTTCTAATAATAATTTAAATGATACTTACATTGCCATGGTAACATATATAGAATTGTCGAACCAATAAGCATTAATACAAGTTTTATTTTATGTCTATGAGATATTAAATTTTGTGGTATATCAACATGAATTGATTGATCATGTTTCTTTATATATCCTATGAAAGATTTCATAGCATCAATATTAGTCAACGTTTGTTGTTGTTGTAAAATATATGTAATAACAAATAGTTGCAGAACATGAAATGGAAATGAAAAACTTTCACGAAGTGGTGGTGTCCTAAAAAATATAAATAAAAAAACTCTTATGAAATATTTTCTTTAATAAAAACTTACCACATAACTCTTGTTGCTTCACCATGATTAAATATATAAGCAAATGTTGTTATTATTCCACCTAGAATACTTTTTGATAAATATGTTCCAAATAAAAATAAAATACCAAGTAAAAATCCATTTAATATAAAAACACTTGTTACATAGAAATAAGTTGGTTCTTTATGTCCTTCACATGATAAAACTGAACTCATTGTTTCACCTCGATCAACTCGATAACATATTTCTGTTAATATACCTTGAGAATTCATTATACGATAAATTAAACTCAATAAAACTTCTGGATAAAGATTAAAACGTTCTAAAACATTAATTGTTGTTGGTGCTTCTGTTCGATTATCAGATATAATTGATAAAAAACCTTGTATAAATGATGATGATTCAATAGCAATCTGTTTAAAATATGAATAATAAAGACCCATTTCTGTACGAAATGATAATTCACGTTCTAATGTTGATAAATGTGAAAAATGTTTATCATTTTCAAATAATTCATATATATATGAAAAATGTAAATAGGATATAATTAATGCAATAATTAATAAAACCAAAACATAGGCAAGAGAATATAGCTACAAAAAAAAACATCAATTCAAAAAATTGATGATTGTCTCAGAGAAATAGAAAATCGATATATTGAAAATGCACGAAGTCGTACGTATACTAAGTCAACTAATTGAAATAAAATAATAATATTAACATAATAATAATGATGACTCGCCTCATTATTCTATTCATTATTTTTTTTATGACAATAACTTGAATTACATTCCAATAATACCGTAAGAATTTATGATCAATACAACTTGGGAATTACATATGCAAACTAGAGAATGTTATTGAATCAATCTATGACTCAGTCGGTGATCGATTTGCTTGTTAAATTAGTTTTTTTTTTCAGTAGATACTGCATATGTAACAATTATTCTACGAGAAGAACAATTTACATTGTTCATTTTTTTTGTAATAAATCTATTATCAATAATTGTTTGATTGAAAAATATTTTTACCTGAGAATAATTTTCATTCTTTTCTATTTTTGTTTCTCTTGATGAAGGAATCTGTTGTTTATTTTTTGTTCCTTGACGATACCGAATTGTCGATTGACGATCTTTCGGCATCTTAAAATAAACTTAATCTAAAAACAAAAAACCAAGAAAAATCAAAAATATTCTTTTCTTTCTTTTTATTTTGTTGCTAATCCAATCAAATTAAATCGAATATTGCCATCACACTCATTCACTTTTTGTTTTACTTCTTGTGTCACACGAGAAAAAAAACTTTCATTATTTAATTCTCCAATGAATTTTGCTTGTGGCCCTTTTTTACTTCCATTCAATTCATATAATTTATTGCTGTTCGACACAATATAGGCTATATAATGATAGCCAACTTTACCACTATCAACCATTTGTGTTTGCCCTTGTGCAGCTATTTCTTCATGAGCTTGATGAATTTTTTTATCATTTAATAAGACCAAAGCTCGTTCATCAGCAGTCATTGTTTTAGTTTTTTCAAAAAATTCAGCTAAAGGAGAATTTGGTTTTAATATTACTTTATCCAAATTATTACCAATTGCATGAAGAAGAGCAATAAGACAACAACAACAATCTAATTCATCAATTTGTTTAATTGTCCATAATTTTTCATCTATCAGTGGTTGAGATACATTTGAAATAGATGACAAACCACTGTCTGGATAAAGAAAAATATAAGAATATATTGTCTCATTAAATGAATAATCTTCATCTAGTGAATAGATTTCGATAAAATCAAGTGAATTAATATCGACACCTAATTTTTCCATATAGACTCGCCATAAATCAGGATCTGATTCAAGTGCATGCCATGAATTTGATGAAGACATCTGAAATATTATTAAATGACTAATCAATGAGATATTCTTTCTTGTTTCGAAAAAAGAAAACATAAAAATAAAAATAAAAACAAAAAAAAAACACGTAACTACAGGGAATATCAACATATAAAACAACACTATAGAAAGATCAATTCAGTGTTCTTTCGACTAAGGACAACAAAAAAAAAGTGAACATGTAATATAATCAATAGAAAGTGAGTAAAAGACTTTTATCAATCGACGAACGCAAAGAGAAAAAGAAAAAAAGGATTGGTGTTATATAACAGCAAATGCAGTTGACATTGTAACAAACATTATAAAATCAACGGAGGTCGCTTGTCAACAAAAACTGTTTAAGAAATATATTCGATGTTTGTCAAGTAAAAACAGAAAAAAAAATAGAATTTTAAACGTGATCAATAAAAATATTCTATCAATAATGGTTCATAGATATCAAATAAAAGAAACATTCAAAGTAAATACTCAACAACTGTACGAAAATAAATTATGAAAAAATCATTTTATCGAAAACATCGGCCTTATGTGAAAGATTAAATTAGAACATAGAAGTTTCACTATTTAGTATATTTCAGTTACTATTCTTTATTCTGATATATTGTACAATTTTCAAAATGTGAGTTTTTATTAAAGATCATTCTTACGTTGGAAAGTGATTCCGGAGTATGCATGAATATCAATGTGGATTAAGAGAAATGAAAGACTTACGCTCACACTCTAAAGTTGACAGAATCTTATTCGCAGGAATCTGAGAGAGCAGTTGTAGAATAAAGAACGTTACAATTTTCAACACTCGTAGTGTCGAATGGAAAAAGAATACGATTAGATGCTTTAGCTTATCTAAACAAGTTCATTTTCATTAGTTCATCTCGTCTTTTTTATTCTCACTCATGAATATCTCTTTGATATTCTTACCCTTAAGGTTTCTCTTTTTTATGTACTATTCAGGTTTCTTGTTTGATTATTATTTATTGAATCACTTTTTTTTATTGATTAATCTGTTTCTTTCTTCGTAAATTTTTACATATTGAGGTTCGTCTGCACTAAGAAAAGAATAATGAAAAAAAAATCGGACTGGTCAATTCAATAAAATATTCTAAAGCTTCTACCATTGACAGACTCAATATGATGATCAAACTAAAAATGATTATTCATTCCTCATTATACTGATCTTATTGACTTCTTCTAAACTTCTAGATGAAAACAGGCAAAATCGAGTATATTTATATACACATACGAACGAGTTGTATACTATATTTAGAGAGTCGGAGACGCTGGAGATAAGAGATATTGGAGAAAAGTACCAAGATTATTTTACCTCTTGCAATGATGAGATCATTTCCTAGTATCTTTATCATTTGTGATCTTCCAATGCATTTCTCAGATCCAGATTTTCTGAATATATGAAAGTATCACTTCTGATAATAGAAATATCGATCGTTTGTTTAATCTGTAATTAAAATTCTTTATTGTAACTACAGAACTTGTTTATTAATTTTAATATAAATTATACAGAGTTGCACTCAAACAATTGTTTCAAACATTTGAGTTTTTGATTTTTTAACAAGTAATAATGGTATTTGAGATTGATTTTTTGACAGAAATGAAACAATTTCTAGTTTAGGTGAATCATCTTGAATAGGATTATAAGTAACTGGTAGTACCAAAAATGATGAGTTATTTGTTTCTTCATTATTTTTGTCATTTATTCGCAAAGAATATCGTGGTGATGATCGTCGTTCTAATTCACGAATACATTCTTGCAAATTTTCAATACGTTCTTCTAATAATTTTTCACGTGGACTAATTTTGAAGTTATGATTAGATGTTAACATAGATTCATATCTTGTAAAATTCTATGAATATTACATAATATTATTGAACAAAAAAAAAGATATTTATTACACAATAAAAATTAATTTTAATACCTGATGACTTTTATTGTCTTTATTAGAACGTTTAGATCGAATCAAAAAACTTGAATAAGTATTTTCACAGAAAAGAACAATAATGGCAATAAATGTGCCACCAAGAAGAAAGAAAAATGCTGATATAAAGTTCAGCGCCTAAACGAGAGAAAAAAAACGAGAAACATTAAAAAAAACCAGCAAAACAAAAACTTTTACCTGAAGTGATTGACTACTCCGATGTGATTGATAAGCCATACTAGATGCACAAGCACCTGATATTAAGTTTTAAAAAAAAAAGAAGCATGTTTATCAAATCTTATTCAAATAGAATTTTCTTACCTGTAAACCAAAATCGTCGAAGACGTTCAATTTCACCTAAAAAAAAAGAAGAAGAATTATGAAGTTCGTTTAAAAAATAAAGATTTTTCAAAACCAGAATGATGCATTTCAATAATTTCTTTATTAATCATATCTTTGAATTTTGACTGTTTAGGAAATCCAATACCATAACCAGTCATTGCATACCATTTACCAACAACACGTAATTTACATTCATCATCTTGTCCACTTAGATAATCGAGAACAACAGCATCATATAAAAATGCATGTAATTCTCTAAAAAATATAAAAGAAAATATTGCAATTAAACATAAGAAGAAAAAACAAACGAAAATTATTTGTACCCAGTTTTTATTGCTTTGATTCCTTCAAAAACATTTCTCTTCATAAATTTTCTTAGATATGTATATAATTCTTTATGATTTTTTTTGACAACTTCATCAGTGCTCTAAATATAAGAAAAAAAACAAATTGATTATCGAAAATCTTTATGTTTTAGTTTTTACTATTTATTATAAATAGAACAAAATACAACAAGTATCATTGGATGTTTTTAGTTAATGATCTTTTAATTCTATCTGTTTGAATTGAATCAAAATATGAAAAATTAATTTTACTCGAAATTTTTATGCTATTGATAACTAATTCTGTATGAATACTATTAGTATTTAGGAATTTTTTAATAAAAATAATAGCGAATAATTTACAAATCAATTTAGATATTCGATTCATTATCTATTTTGAATAGATTATTAGAAATAAAAGAATTTCTATTCGAATATACAAAGGTCGTTCAAAAAGCTTCGAAACTGATTTTATTTAAAAACAAAAACAAAAGCATTATTTTTTTTTTGGAATGGTTGTCTATTTGTCGTTCACATAATTCTCTATTTATTGACATTATGAGCTTTAATTGATTAAACATTTATATAGTATAATAACTATTGTTGTTTAGATCTACGTAAATACATCGATGCAAAATCAAAAACTTGAACATCTTTCAATAATAAAGTTTCGTCAGAGTATTTAAATAGGCTCACCGTTTTATAGATGGACAATTAAACGTCGATGATGATTCTAGGGTAGATCGACCAATTTTACTGCAGTGGACGAAACAACTGTCAAAGCTGTTTTGAGAGTCTAATTATTGAAGACCGTCGCATCACGATTTAACAAATAGTAAACACTACGCATTTCATCTAGCGTTGCACAGGGCATTTTGCATGATCAGTTACAAATGATTAAAGTCTGTTCAAGATAGGAGCCGCATTGACTAACACCAGATCAATGAGACGAATGGATTCAAGTATGTCAAGAACTTTTAACTCATTATTCTACTGAATGAAATGACTTTGTTTTTCGAATTATAAATGGTGATGAATTATGGATTCATTATTATGAACCTGAATCAAAACAATCATCATAGAAGTAAAAACGAACTGGTTCATTATCAACAACAAAACTGAGAGAAGAAAATCTGCTGACAAAGTTTTATATTTATTTTTCTGGGATCATACAGGAGTAATTTTAAAATAGCCCACACTACTGAATGTGATAATCACTAAAGGATGTCATGCACATCTTATGATAAAAAAATAACAGCAAGGTTTTATTTTGGCTGATGTCATTTTGCAATATGACAATGCTTTACCACATACATCACACATCATTTCTTCTATTATTCATGAATCGCTTTATCATCCACCTTATTGTCCAGATCTGACTTTCAATGATTATTTCCAGTTTTAAAAGATTAACTCAAAGAAAGACATTACAATGATCGAAGTTCATTAGATTCATCGTTACATCAGTATCTGAACTATCTATCTGAAGATAAGACTTCACAGCAGCTATATACAAGTTTCCTAAGTGTTAATAAAAGTGTATTGCAACAGAGCGATGATAATTCGAAAAAGAAAACATACATTTATAATTACAATTCACTTAGCTTTTATTTTTTTTTAATAAAATTAGTCTCAGAACTATTTGAATATTCTACGTAATCACTGTTAGGATAGAAATCTTTATGAAAAGAATAAATTTGATATTGAACAAAAGATAATATCAATTATTTATTGATTTAATACGTATATTATTTGTGAAATTTTTGTTAAGTCTCGTTTTTTTTTTATCGATTCCTAGTAATAATTATATTTCCGTGCTCATTCGACAACTATTTCGTTTATTAATTTTATTCACTATTGATTTATTTTCTCTTGTACATCTTATTAAAATATTATTGTCTATCTATTCCTAGGATAATATAATTTTCAACAAAGATAATATCTGATATTGTTTTCTAATCCTATAATAATAAAAATCTTCACTAAAAAATTATAATAACTAAAGAAAAAAAAATCATGTTAATTACTCCATTAGCAATAGTTCCATAACGAAACGATGGTTTTAGTGAATGAGGATTGGTAAGCTAGAATTAAAAAACGTATGTATTAGAATAAATTTTTTGTTTTTAAGTGTAAAAAAACATACACGATTATCGTTTATACCCGATAGATCAAAATAGACTTCTTTAGTAATCATAAAAGCAGCTATAATATATTAAATAGTTATTCAAAACTTGAATAAATATCGAATAATACCAAACCTAAATTAGCTGTATAACTAGCAGTAAATGCCACACAGCAACAAGCCCAAATATTAGTCATAAATTTCGATGTAAAACTTTTTGGATGATTTACTCTAGCCTGTGCTCGAAAAAGAATAACCCAACTAAGCCATACAGATTGAGAAAATGTCATATGAAGATCTAAATGGATAATACTATTGTTAACAATATAGAATAAATATTGAACATCAAAACTTTGTTTTTTGGAAGGTCGAATGAGATCATAGATACGTTGAAATGAAGATTTATAATTTGTTTCTTCATTTTGCAGATCCTATTGTTCAAAAAAAAAGAAAACTAAATGAATTGTTTACAGAATTCTGAAAATTTCTTTAAATTGATTTTATGATGTTGAAATATGTTCGATTTCTTTAACTTAGAATACTCAATGATAATTCAATAGTTCTTGAATATTTCAAAACATTTACAAGATATTTAATAAGCTTTTTCTTTTTTATACTACTATAGTTTTAATTATTTCTTATAATAGAATCAAAATAATCTTATAAATTATAAAAATAACATACATTATCAAAATCATAATTAGTTAATTTATTTTGAAAATATTCAAATAGAAAAACCATTATTGCAACACCATGAAGAGTAAATAATAGTATGAAAACCCAAATACGATAATCATATGGTTCTAGATAAAAGAATTATTGTTCTTTAAATAATTAAAAAAAAATTTTTAACTTACTCAAGAAAGCTGTAGTTGATATAGCTCCTGGTCTTAAAGAAACAATCAAACCAATACCTGTTTCCATAAGTGGAACACTAAAATCAATAGCATCATTGCGTTCTGTTGTTATTTTCAATGAAGTTAATGTTAAATCAGCTCGATTTTCAAGAAGATCAGCAACAAGACCATTCCATTTATTCTAAAACAAAACAATACATTCACTCGATTATTTTAATGCCAAAAAACAAAAAAACAAATAAAAATTATTAATTACAGTCAATGGATTTCGTCCACCCCATGTTCGATCAAGAACTTGATAAAGTTCAAATTCAAATTTAAGTCGATCTTTCAATATATTAAATAAATCAATATAAAATCCTGAACAACATTGATAATGATCTGGATCACTATGATTAGCACCACTGAAAAAAATAATTTTCTCATTTCGAAATTAGCATTTTTTTTTAAAATTCTTGAATAAACTTTAATGATAGAACAATGCCCAAATGTCGAATTGATGGATTTAAGAAAGAAAAAAAAAAGAACAAGCAGTTTGTTTTCTTACGAATTTTCTGGTCCTATACGACAAATAACTGAACCAGCTTGACATGTTCCATCGGAAGATGGATTTTTAAGCATAACAAATGGATGTTCTTCAAGTGTTACTACTTTCAAATAATGAATAATAGGTTTGCCTGGTGGTGGTTTTGATCGATCACCTGGCCATTGAATATCGGCTATTGCTAATGTACTATTAACATATTCACCAACCTATATATTAAAAATTCAATAAGAATTGATAAGTATATGAAATATTAAAAATTTTTTATTACTTTTTTCCATTCATTATTTGGCATTTGAAAATTTAATATAGAATAATTAGCTGCTATAGCTAAACCATCTTGTTGAAAAATTCCATATGCACGTTTAAATTCATCTTTAAATAAACTAAATAGATTTATAATCATATTTTAAAAATTATCTATTTTAAAGATTTATAAATTTACTTGTAAAGATTAGGAAATATATGTTTTAAAGATGGTTGATTCAATGAATTATTAATAGCAAATATTCGATTACACGCTGTTCGATCTCGTAATGATGATGTAAATATTGTCATATTAGCATTCCGTTTTTGCATTACATCCATATGTGTTATTTTAGAAAATACATTAATTAATAGAGGTCCAATATATTTATCAAAACGAGCAAGAACACTATCTAAATTCCATTGAATAGGAAAACTATTAAAACATTTAATGAATGTTAGAAAAAAAAATCGTACCCCGAGTAACATCATGATATAAAGCTAAAAAATAAGATAATTATATCAACTCAATATAACAGAAAGAAAGAAAAAAACAAACCTAATGTGCCAACAAAAAAATTCATTTTTCGCCGATTTGGACTAGCATATGGATTCATTTTTGCTTCATCATCACTACTGTATGTAGCTAAAAATATTTTTGAAAACAAAAAAAAAAAAACTTCTATAAAAATATCTTTTGAATGTTACAAAGTACGATTGATGACATAATCCACATGTATTCTGGTCCTATAAGACTCATATTATTTGCTTGTTTAACAACAAGTGATGCCATTGTTCTATATTTAATCGAAAAGTTACAAAAAATATTTAAAAAAAAAAAAGAAAAGTTCAATATGAAAAAAGATTAAACCTACGATGTTGTATGAACGATTATAACACGTGTTTCTGGAATCATCATCGATAGTTGTTGTCTGATATGTATTGGATTAAGACTTTTCATACGAATAATTGAGAGCAATGTAAATCTAAATATTGATATGATTAGTTAAAAGCTGAAGTAAGAAATAAACGTTAGGTAGGAAAAGCAATTGATATTTTTGTTTTTCTTCTTTGAATTTAATTATAGTATTAATCTATGAAATTATATATACGTAAACTTTTACTTTTCTTCTTAGCTTACGATTATTTCAATGTATTCGAATTAATACAATTTTTATAGATCTCATAAAAGTTGAACTTTTCATATTTAACATTCATTTGCTGATTGCAATTAGTATTAGATTTAAATTGATTATTTTCGTTTTTTTCAGCAAACAATCTTATCGAAAAACCGATTGATCGTTATTATTTGTCATCTGTTTGTGACTATCGTACGTATTATTCACTGATTGAATTAAAGTTATGGATTAGAGAAAATAATGTTTTTTGTTTTATTTATAATATTAAAAAAAAAAAAAAACATCTACTTACTTTTTTTTATCTTTGATATAATTATGATTACATGATGTTTTTCCACTAAAACAAATTCTTGGAAATTTTAATATTATCAAGAGTATAGTTTTTGTTGTTTTTTTAATTTCTATTTCATAATTAAAAGTTAAGATTCAAATAATCTTACCAAGATCGTGATTCACTACTATGTTCTTCAAATTCTTCTATAAGTTCTTCTTCACCGGGTAGACGTGGATCAATGATTAATGAAAATGCATTCCAATCATATCTTGCCATTAATGCTAACAAAGCTCGAGCTTCTTCTCGATAGGTTGGAGCCAATTGAAAGAAACGTAAACTAGGAAACTTCTACATGAAAACAAAACAAAAAACCAGAACACATATAACAATATTATTATTATTATTTGTTTGCTTTTTTTCTTTTTGCTAATAATTATTGATCTTAACTTACGGCAGGATGAAATGGATGAAAAAAATGGAATGTTAATATAGGATATTCTAATAATGTGAAAAGTTTAAGAAAAAATAAATAACCAGCTGGTAATGCATGATGTTCATTGGTATATTCATTTAAATAAATTAATAACATTGGATGTGATTGTAAAATTGAACAAAGATTTCCAATTAATGCAGTAATTGATTTTGTATATAGCGTATTAATAGGTCGTCTGAAAACAGTTCGAAAATATTTTCGAGACAAAATTTAAAAAAAGAAAAAAGTCGTTTACATAACAAATTTTCCACATGTTGTTGTATAATTAGAATTTAATTGTGTAGATGTAAAAAGTTTCATTTGAGAAAATTTATCATCATTTCGTGATGATAACGCTGCCAATGGAATAGACACACATGTCATATTTGATGACAAAACATCACGTATTTGAAGGTCGACAACAGATACATGATTTATAACAATAAACAACAATAGTATATGGCAGTGCAACATTGTGATTGTTGTAATTGATCTAAATCGATTAGACTCAATAAGATGAATGTGTATGAAAAGCATATATATTATACATATACGTCGACAGCAATTGATATTTCTCTTAGTAAGTAATTCTTTACATAGGCATTATTAAAAAAAATACAAAAGAAAATGATGAAAAACGACCGAGACCAATTGTCTATACGCCACTTGATGGCTCCTATAGGAAATGGGATGGCCGAAAAATGAAAGAATGCTATGGAAGCATTAGATGATGTTGATATGATTATCGGATTCGAATGCGTGTAAATATATATATATATATGCGCAGAGAAGTAGAAATGTTTCTTATTTCTGACTCTTTCTGTTGCTTATGCAATTTACCAAAAACTCGGAAAATAGTTGAGGAAGACCAAAAAACATTCTTATATTTTTAGTTTTATCCAACATTTTCTCATCAGTAGATGAAGATAAAAATAATGATATACAAAACATTATATTGATATGATAGAATTTCTCATGAATTAATTGCGATCTTGGAATCGAAATTCTTCAATAGCTCTTTCTCGGAATGACAACGGAAAAAGAAAAAAATAAGAATAAATTGAATTTAAACGATTGTCTAAATGCATCAATTCTATTATCTTCTTTAGTTTCGTCATCGGACATAAAAGAATTTGATTATATATATTGTTATGATTGATGCTGTTAAGCATACATATAATAGTAGCTGTGACTGAGATATTAATCATAGATTGTTTTTAAAGTTATCCAAAATGCACGAGCAATGTCGTATCCTGCTTATCCTTCATTCTTCTTACAATGTCAAGAACTTTAATCTTTGTATGATCATTCTTTCTAGATTCGTTTTTTTTAAATTGGTAGTATTAAAATGAATGTCAAACTTTTCAAAGGAAGGTGAAGAAATATGTTTCAAAGTAGATAAAATAAAGCAATCTTCTAATGCTTAGCAAGAGCAGCTGCATCGCGTTTTACATTTTAATTCTTCTGAGATTGGCACTAATCGAAATTATGCAGTTAGTACAAATAAGTTACGAAATGATAATACTCATAGAAAACAAGCTTGTTGATGAATAGCAATTGGATGGATAGCAGATATTAATAACAAAAATACAAAAGAAGATTCTCAAAAAAAAAATAAAGATTAACGAAACTCTCGTTGAACAAATACTTAAATCATATGACAATACTAATCACAGTTAATCCTCGTAGTACCGGTCAGGATCATTTTTGACCCTCCCTCAAAAATTTAAAAATATGCTAGAAATATTTTGCTTTTTCCCAGTTTTTAGAAGCAGTTAACATTCCTCATAGATAGATGTATGTTGTCGAATCTAAAAAAGAATACATTTGTTTTTCATATCATTACAAGCTTTTGATACAAGACTATTTCTTCAGTATACAATAAATATATAACAAGAAAGGAGAAAAAATCAAACTTACAATAGATAATCCAATCACTCATTCACTAATCTAAGTGGATACATATTTCCAATCCATTAAAAAACATTTTTTTTTGAGTGGTTTCGAACTATTCAACCATTATGGTAGATGATTTATATCATTGTAGATCAAATGTATGACTTGCCTTTCGTTCTTGTTTTGTATTTTGTGAATAATGAGGTCAAGATATCATATTGAAAACTTGTAAAATCATGAGGAAGGAGAGCATTTTTTTGTATTCAACTTGATATACCAATTTATTGTTTCAGCTGATGCCGCCAGTTTATCTAGTGCTTCTTCATTTACTTGTGATTTCTAGATTGAAGTTTTTCTTCTCATATAATTTGTATCCAACTGGGTGTGGATGTACGTATACGTGTGGGTGCAGTTTTCCTACACGCACATCTACACACGCTCACATACATATCGTTCTATTAAATATATTTTTCGTATTACTTATTCTAAATAAAGAATATCATTTTAATAATTTTTTCTATCAGATTAAATATGAAAACAGCATATTTCGTCAGGAGACTGATTCAAAAGTAAAAAACAATTAATTTATGAAAATATATGTCGATAGTATAGTGCTTAAAAAAGGCTCGTACTACTAGGATTAATCAGCTTATTTGTTTCATCGTGCACGTTTTATTTTGTAACTCAACTTAGCTACATTAATATGTGTCATTTTCTCATCACAGTTTCAACAATAATCTAATGTATTGGTATTTGTCATTGCTTTTCTAGCTCGTGTCTTATTGGTACTTTAGTTTATGACTACTAAGTTATACAATTTTCTTATATTTTGTCCTTAATTTTCGATAGAAACAGAACGCATCATCAAATTATATAGCACTAGCAGTTTGGGTAGTTTAGCTATCGTTACTTTCATGATTATTTTTTGTTGATTGTTGTAAGATGAAAATAGCATAGATTATGAAGAAGAAACTCTAGATACTGAGTCTTACAAATTAAAGAAGTTAAAGAAAAATAATTAACTATGCGATATCTCTGTCGAGTAGTCAATGAACAACAACAAAAGCCTAAGTAATTTGTATCATTTAACATCAACAATCACAACAAGTTCCTAATGATCTTTATCCTTGTCCTTATCATCATCACTCTCATCCGCATCACATTCATGCGTATCCACTTACGTCTTAAGACAGTAGTTCAAATATAATAACAACACATTGATATACGGTCTGTGATGATCTTTAATTAACTTCTGTCACGGTCTGTGAGGATACAAATTTTTACTTCTGTACTTCAATACTCCTTTTACATCGTGTCTTACAAACAGACTATTGAAGCAAGTTATCTGTAACTGAACTTTAAAAAACTTTGTTTTTCGATTCCGTTTTATTTCGTTCGAAAAAAATCGATTTCAGTTTGATTTACATTTTGGAAAGTTCAAACATAGGCCATCTCTGATAACTATATATAGTCATTACACAGACGTTTACGTCTATGAATTATTATAGAATTTTTTAAAAGTACTAATGTAATCTTCTTTGCTATTGACACTGATATATGTCTTCTCTACCATTCAATTCTCT